AAGCACTGTCAAAGCTAGGAAACTGAATCTTTGTGAATATTTATGCGACATTTTCCCTCACTTAATGTTAGTTTTTATAACTCTACAATCTGAGAATCGCCCAATAAACAAGCGGTAGGATAAAGCTGTATGATAACGAGGAATTGTTCATTTGGCGATGCTAATGCTGATGCTCAGTCTCTGCTAACGCAGGTGAATGTCCGAGTGTGAGTCGCGTTGCTCTCGTTCTAGTGTTCGCGAAAATTGTTTTGCCATAAAAGCACATTCGAAATTTGGCTTTTACAGGTTCAACGTTGTTTTATATAAACCGCGAAGACCAAAAACCCGAGCCCGTTAGACCTTGGAAATGAGTAACGACGCGTCAACTGAGATAGGTGAGATTACGTTTGATGGGTTATGTAAAGAGAAATTTTCGACAACTTTGTGAACTACTCATCTTGTACATTCATATTTTTAACTTTGTAACCGGCTGCCATAGCTCAGAACAACAGATATTAGATCTGCAGGGTATCAGACCGGGAAGTCCTAGGGGTCTATTGATTGATTGATTAGTGATTCCGGCATGTCAGCTGATAAGGCAATTATTCCAGTAAGCGTAGTCCATTAAGGTGACGGTGATCTTCTCCCGCTAATGGTGAGATCCGTTGTCGACCTAGCGGTTCTTTCCTCAACCAGGTATCTCCCACTAGCGGGGCACCGTCCCAGCCGAGACATGCTTTAAGCTCCCGACAGGCCTTTCGGCATGTGAGGTAGTGTAGTGCATGTTAGTGTAAGTGTGTGTACGGGGTGTTAATGGGTGTTCGATAGGACAAGGAAGAAGGTGAGATCTCACGTTTTCGACACCAACTACATTGATAGTATCGAATTGATTCGCTGTCTAGAGGAGAATTATAGTGATATAAGAGAGTAAAGATACAATGTATTGGATCTTTCACTTAAAAGCACAGTTATACATATTTATTGAAGTATATGGCAATCACGATATTTCGGAAGGTTAAGTAAATTTGTTATCGTTTTAAATCTATCTATTACATTTATTTTGAAATACCACTAGCTGTTATGGTCGTTATTTTTTCGTGATTTTCTTTGGTGAATAATACGCGAATATCACAGCACTACCTTCTTGAACGAAAGGAGCGATGGACCTCACGCGATCTTTCCTTCCACATCCTTCTCGATTCCCCTCACCTTTCAAAAGCATACTCTTATAATCACTACACACAACCACACACATCGGGAGACTAGTGATCTTAGAGCTTGTTGTTAAATATAGAAGATGGTGGACAAGGTTCATTGTTTCGTTGTTCGAAATACAAACGACGAATATTAATTTATACGAACCTAACTACGATTCGCAATTTGCACCCTATAGGTGTTGTATTTAAAGTTAAAGAGAGACATTAAACATCCACTAATACATTGCTGTATGCGTAACTCCTCAAGACGTTATAACGTACCAAGGCGATAATGAAGATGTTTATTTTTAGGGATATGTATTAGATGTGTAAAGATAGTGATAAAGAAATTGACTTTCATCAAATTTTAAATTTAGGGCTCTTTTAAGCTTCACAAAACTTAACCAAATCGCTTTGAAAAGCCCTTTCTTGAGAGCCCTCTTTTATCGAGTTTAAACAATTGTTTGTAATGGACGTTTCATAAAAAAATATTTATCCTAGCTCGAATGAGCATCTCTCTGCACGAATCTTACATTTCATAGCTCGTGCCCGCCAGTCTTGACATCACGCAGATTGTAATGTTCCAACACTCATAGAAATAGACACATTCCCTTGGTCTGCAGTCTACACTAGTGTCGACAAAACAATAACACAAATTCATTTCGCCAAATACGTCTTTGTATGTATATACATTTACCAACTACAAAGTGTACTAAAAAGAGACACTTGGAAAGTGATAAAAATACAAAGCAAAAAGAACATAATACACATTCACACTATTTCGTAGTTGGCGACCTGTTTCTCCCTGTAGGTATCTCCTCCAGCGGGGCATCTTCAGTCGGGACAAGCTCTGAACTCCCGAGATATATGTCAGAATTTAGCACGTATGTGTAGGTTGTGCCGGTAAGGGGATAGAATAGGAAGAGGAAGGAAAGATTACGGGCGGTCCATTGCCGTTTGTTGGGTTACTACTCCGGCATTCACCTCGTGTTGATAAAAAAAAACACGGAAAAACCCATCAGAGCAGTCCGACCGCTAAAATTCACCTCCATCGACCTACCTAACTAGCTAGTGACGGTGAAGATGACGGTGACGGTGGCGGTGAAGGTGACAGTAACGGCGACTGCGCCTCAATTGCAATATTAACACTGCCAACTGCTGTGGCTACGTATTAGACTCGTTACAGTAGCGATTGCGTTATCCCGGGAGTAGTGGCGGTGTTTCTTCCTGGGTGATGAAATCGCCGCCGATCTACACGTCGATTTCCTCCTCCAAGTATCTCCCAAGGAGTACTACCCAGGGCAATCTCTCAGCTCCTGACTGGTCCTCTGGCATGTGTGGGGATGAGGCTGCGAAATATTGCTTAGATAAATTGGGGGAGCTTTAGCAGAAATTGAAACGAGAAGTTTTGTGCATCGCCTTCTGTGTTCTCATCAGACGACAGAGTTGTTTAGAAAAGGCGACACATAAATAAAAAATGTGATTACTTTGCCATAAGAATCAATGAGTATTGAAGAAATTGTCGTGGTCGGGACGAAAATAAAAGTTATCCTTAAGAATTTCACGTCATTTATGCTTTCTGTTTTTTCGCTCCACTTTGTCTTAGAGTGCTGGTTTAAAGAAACTACAAAATAATTGCTTGCTGCCAACTTTCACTGCTACTCTGATTTTCAAACATTGCGAGCTCGCCGCGTTGAATGTGGAAAAAATTGGATTCCAGGAAATCTGACAACGAGGAACTCTTTCGTCGCGGCCGCCCAGGAGGTGTTGCAACTTATTACTGGTTTTCCGAAGCAGTTGAAAATCGATTTCAAAGAGCTTTGAACAAAAATGAGTATTTGGTCAATTGAGAAAGAATTCACGCGGCTTTTTGAGCAAGATTACCCTCCGAAGATTAGATCTCCGAGGCGGGAAGTTTGAAATGTGTGATCGTCTTAAATGCCTTCAAAGAGCGAAACTGAGCTGTTCGAAGCGTGGCGCCAAATTTGAACTAATTTTGCGGCCCATGTACCAATATTTGGTATTGGATATTGTAGTGACTGTGTGTGTGTGTGTGAGAGAGAGAGAGAGAGAGAGAGAGAGAGAGAGAGCTTGTGTGTGCGTGGAAACAGGGAGAGAATGGGGAAGGAAGAGAGAAGGAAGAGCGCTGTCCGTCGCCCGTTTGGTAGGGTACAGCTTTCGCCCGATCGACCGTTAGTTTAAGCGAGGTGATAATGTGGAACTCGAAACTATACTTCATATCTTTCACTAATCTTAGGAACTTCCTACCAGTAGTGTATTCCCTATTTATCACAGAATATCTGATATTCCTCGGCGCAGTAACGTACATTACCCTAACTTTTGGCTAATGTGCAATAATTCGTTTATAGTCTAAAGTATGCTTCGAAGCTATTCCTTCTTCGAACGTTATCTTCCCATTTTAATAATGGTAATAGTAATAGTTTAATTCTCTGTTTATCTAGATTCAGACTTTAGCAGTTACCTACAAATTAGATGCGTAATAATTTTAATTAGTATATAACCACGAAAGTTTACGTGTGAGCATTCCATCATATCGACCAGAACGTGTATTAAATTTTACATCACGTTTACAATTTTCATTCTCGGATTTTTACTAAAAATTATCATTGTGCTTCAAGAAATTGCGCGTAATATATCTTTCAATGTGATTCAAATCATTGTATTCGATATTTCTGGGTTAAGTTATTTATTAGCACCAGTTTACAATTAGTATTGTAACTAGGTAAATTACGAGACCAACAAATCGTAATCTCAGAAAACAACTTACTATTGAATGAACATCTTTCCTGATTTCGTTATGTTGTCTATATATAAATATAAAATGTTTTGTCTGAGGAGTACTTTTGGGTTACATTTATGCACCAATTTCAGTTTAACTGGCCACATATTAATAATTTATTTATAAATATTATTGAGCAACGTTACTTCTGCGTTCAACCCATGTACACAATTATTTGCTACTCCCCTTGCCTTTTAGTTAAGACTGAAGAACATCTAAATCTGAAAGGTTTCATAACTCTTCTCTTTTGAATGCTTTTGTTTAGGGGGTCGGGTTGGCTCCATCCAACGGAGGAGTCCCGCATCTTGGAATCCCTAAAATCAAATCAAATAATATTAATCTAGAAATAAAAAGTAACTATGAAAATAGATCGTCCGGTCCATAATTCAAACTCACCCATTTTTGCATACGAGTCAAATTTAAAAGTATTCCACAGTATTACAAAACAAAAGGAAATGACTAAAATAAATACATCTGCTTTTTTAGGTGGAAAAGAAAAGTAAAGAATATTTTGAAGAAGTTATGTAAAAAAGAGACTTAAACAAAATTCGAGAAATTGTGTTTATTTTTTTATTTCATTAGGGTACATTGAAGGGTAGTATATTTATTAAATTTAAAATATTAATTGTTAAAATATTAATTATAACTTCAGTCAATAATGATTGCTACCAATGTTCCTTATCAAATTTAACAGATTTTTTCACAAGTGAACCAATTACAAAACACAACTTAAAAACCTCTAATTTTGTCAGGAGGAAAAGAAAAATAAAGAAAATTTTGAAGAAGTTAAACAAAAATGAGATGTGAACAAAAATGCGTGGACGTGTGTTAAACATTTATTTTTTATTAGAGTACACTGAAGTATATAGCATAAATTTCAAATGTCAATTTTAGGAACTTTAGTCAATGATGCAGGTTACCGCCAGGCTACCGCAAACACCCTTAACAAAATGAAGCGTCCAAAATACATTGTCTCTCCTCATAAATGGTACCTCTGAAACGCGGCCTCACAATGTTTGTTAGACCGTGTTGTTCTCAACAGACTCGTCGGGCTCTGAAGAGGAATTGCTCGAGTCATTCCCGGCAGAGTACAGTGGATGAATGGGGTTACCCGGATAGACGGAGTACTTGTCTGGGAGTTCGCAGGAGCCGTCGCTGTCATGGCGGACGACGGCGGAGAGGTTGGCGGGGAAGTCGCCCTGGAAGTCGCACTGCCAGCCGCCGAACTCGTCCAGCGCCACCTTCTGCCCCTCGCACAGGCGTGCCACCACCTGCACAGCAAAACACGTAAGTCATGATATTAAGGCATTGTATATTTTATAAGTAACATTCACAATGATAAAATAAAATATATAAAATTGTATTTATTTAAATAATAATAAATATTGTAAATATGTAATACTACTTTTCTTTTCTCTTTGATCCCTTATGTATATATCTGTAAATATCTGTAAAACTGTATGAATTCTTGTATTTGCTAGCACTGAATTTCTACAATATAACCAATATATAAGTTGAGAAATAAAACATTATTATTATTATTATTATTATTATTATTATTATTTATTATTGTGATTCAATCCAAAATATACGCGCAAACCAGAGCAAATAATCAGCTCGAATTCGAATCGAACTCGAATTCTGTGGCATAGAGTAGTAATCAGTAATCGAACAGTGGAAGCAAATAGACCGGATATTCTTGTTTGGTAAAGCATCTAAAACATACATCATTGATGTTACGGCCCTTACAAATGACAGGCTAGTAACAACTGTTTCTGAAGAGAAGAGGGAATACCAACCATTGTCTCTTGAAGAGTAGAGAGAATTTGTATACATGAACTATATGCAGTGTACGTCCTTCCGGTAGTGGTAGCAGTGAATGGCTTCGCGACCAAGGAATGGATCTTCTTTAGTGATCGGGTGTGAATCGAGTAGAATTACAGCTCTGAGAAAGTTTCTACTAGTATCACGATTACATAAAAATTGTATAAGAAGTGGCAGGCTAGGAATCTTGCATCAGGCAAACACGTCTCCTTTTATTAGATCCAAGCCTACTGTTTTCAAATAAATTCACCTAAGCAGCGTAATACGAAGAGGGTTCACCGTGCAAAAGATAGGGTACAAAATTTAATTTTTATTTTTCTTAATTTGGATATATCTGGAGATGTTTCAATAAAATTCATACTCGAATGTTATGTTACTTGTCTGTATGGAGGTGTTTACTAGTAATGGGCGAGTTGCGTATCAAAGGGGAATTTATAGAACTAAAACAGAAGGTATAAAGTTAATTCAGAGTTCAAGGTTGCTGCAAGACATCATATAAATTTGAAATGAATACATAAGAACACAAAGTATATATCATCTTAGTTAGAATGAATAAATATTAGGGTAAGTATGAGAACACATTGATGGGTTCTAACACTTATGTGCCCAAGATATTGAGAGATAGTATGTATAGACAAAAGAGCTGTTTTGAAAATTTGCAAAAAATATCGGAAAAGCTCAGAATAAATATTGATAAAAGTTAATTGCCTATTACAGAGACATTATTAAGGAGGAGAATATGAAAAAGAAGTTACCTATTTGATCGAGAACCTCTTTTAGCAGAATCATCAATATTTAACAGGAACTGTCGGTGCATTAAGTGCGATTAAGGACAAAAGCGAAGCGCGCCGTACCTGTTGATGAGTGAGGCACTGTCCGTCGATGGGCATGAGCACGCTGCCCTCCGGGCACGGGCGTGCCTTGCACACGGCCTGCAGGCGCGCGTGCGCCAGGGCGTGCTTGTCCAGCACCAGCTCCTCCCCGTCCGCGCACGGGCCCTGCGTGCGCAGCGCGTGGCACGCGCCGCCGGCCAGCACGCGCCCCTCACGCAGGCACGCGAATTCCTCCTCCGAGCACGGCACCAGGAAGCCCACGGTCTGTCACACGGACATCATATATATTAAATCTGTGAAGAGAACGATTTTGATGTCTCTCCTATTCGGCTCCCAGTGAAACGGTTTTAAACAAGTGAGGAACCAAAAAAAGAGGAAAAAAAGAGGAATGCAGGCCAGAATATATTGAAAAGTTCATAGCTTTCGTTTATTTATAAAAGGTTACGAACGTTTGAAACGTGCGGCTAGAATGCAAACGGGAAGATGGTGTTATGCGCAAGTTCGCGGGAAATAGAGAAATAATAGAGAAATAAAAAATAGCTCTTGCTTCGAGAATGTAGTGTTGTATTCGTTAAAACGATTGTTTGTAACCTTACATTGTAAATATTCAATGCACTTTCGTATATATCATACTTCTGATATCATGAACTCATATCTGCACATGATAAAGAAGAGGGAATTCTGATTATTATTGGGAAATTTATTTTCTACATACATTAAGGTAAAGTTGGTGTGTGTGTGTGTGTGGGTAAAGTTCTTGGTAAATATTAAACAAAATATATATTCATGGATATGTAGTATTTTTTCTATGGTTTTTAGTAACTTTTCTACGGCGCTTCCCTGTTTGCGATGTAGTCGCACAGGTTCGAATAGTAGATTATAATAGTACCGGTGGTTTCTTGTGAACATTCCAAACTATCGAATTCACTGGTTTTAATAAGTAAATATCTTTATTCTGGATCTTGAAGAAGAATGGATAACCCTTGGATTGTGGGATACAGAATATTGACCGGGCACTATGCGTGGGTAAATATTTTAACATTTAGACCACGAAAAATTATCTTTATTTAACAATGATACTTAAAGTATTTTCCAGTAATTATTGCAATGAGTGGAACCTTTTTGTAAAGGTAGTATGTTAATTGAATCTGTGACAATACGAAGAAAATATTCGAAACTAATGTACAGTATATTCTAGAAATAATTTGGAACAATAGGGTCTCACTAAAACGCCATCAAAAATGGCGTGTGTATGGCGTGCTCCTGTACAGAGCTTTGGCATGTTCAATATTCGTAATATACAGCCCACTCGATGTTCCCCCAATGCACGGCCTGGACACCGCATCACACGAAAAGCATTATCAACAACCTTTTAGCGTGCTGATCGTTTCGATTGGTACGCAGAAAAATGGAAACGAAGTGTTGTGTGATCGTTAAAATGATTGTTTATCACCTCCCATTGTAAGTATTCAATGCACTTTCGTATATATCACACTTCTGATATCATGAACTCATATCTGAACATGATAGAGGAGAGGAAGTTCTCATTATTATGCACACGATGATGACTGTGCCTTACCAGAGTCATGTCGTAGGTCGGTGGTCGCACGGGGTTGGAGAAATCCGGGGCGCGGCACAGCCCGGGGCCGGAGGCTGGGGGCGGCAGCGTGGGGCGTTTCCTGCGGAGACCCGGTGGCCACGCGCACTGGCAGGCCATCTGCCCGAACTCGTTCTGCTGGGTTTGCATGCCCCATTCCCAGCGGCACACCTGCGCGACCCAAGCGACACATATCATTGAGGAGATATTATTTCCTACTTCAACTTTCATTCATTCATTCATTCATCAAGTTATCGTGAGATGCTCCTAAAGCCACTCCGTTTTTCTTTTAGTGTTCAAACAGCAAGTGATCATAACAAAATCTTCCCCCTCTAAAACGTGGACGTGTTCATTTGTACTCTCATTTGATAAAATGATCCACAGACATTCGAGGTCTAAGAAAATTGTATGAAACTAAATATGAACTTACTTCCATCATGGTGTTATAATTTTCACAATCTCCGCTAGCAACGTTGGGTTGCCGGTAGCCTGTACACGTAGAGTTACAAGTTCCTACTAAACGGCCGTTCTTTGCTTCCTCCCAGTCGAGATGGTACATTTGGCCATCGCATAACACCATCGACTGGCCGGGAACGTAGCAATTGCCATTGCTGTGCAATATACGGCCGTACTGCAGGCACGCCTTCTCCTCTTCAGTACATGGATATTCGCGGTCTTGGTAGGTCGTATTTGTGAAGAACTCGAGCATTGGATGATTGGATGTTTCCTTGTCAACAACCTGAAAGCATTAGTCGCATTAGATTTAGATTTTATGAGCATTGTAGAAGCATTATTTATTTACATCGAATGCGAGTGCATTTAATAATACAAAATAATGTGTTTTAATCAGATTAATGAAAGTTCTTACTTAAAACATACGTTACAAACTTAGTACTTAAAATGTCTTCCCCGAGGAATGTTTCAAATAAAACTGAAAATGATCCTGAGTTCGTTGCAGATGAAATTTTAATGACACATATCTAACGCAATGGAATGAAACTCCTTTCCTTAGATTTTTAAGTTTCCTTTTTTTGTGAATCGATTACATTTTTAAAATTCTAAGATTCAATAAAATACAAACTCATACCTATCTTTTTTTAAATATTCAGTAGATCAATTTTTTCACAACCTATTGTGAATTTACATATAATTTTCTGTACGTCAGTTACAAATTCATGGGAGGATCTAAATCCATGACTTTTGAAGGGGGTATCGAAATTCCTATGGACTGTTGCGTAAATGATTAAACGTGGTAAATGTGTACAGATTAAACTTCGATATTTGAAGAATACGCCTTTGCAGAGCTCAGAACAATATATTCGAATCTGCATTTGTGTAATTTTTGTTAGCCACATAACTTGTTTTGTAAATGCTGCCATGTCTGTGTATTCTTTTTACTGATATCTACATATTCCATAATTCTATGATCACATTTGTAGAGCGTTTGAATCATAATATTTGTTTTTTTCGTTGTTTTTGTTGAGAAAATGTCGAATGTCGATCATAATTTTGAAAATGTTGAAATGTAGAATGCGTCGTCCCGATCTGTGTCGTGTGTAATCCCGATTTCCTCAATTTGACTCCTAATTGACCAACTAGAATGTCATTAATTTAATTTTTGGGATTTAATCGGAAATGTAGGTCTATCAATTTTTTACCAATAGCTCAATACGGGAGATATTACAGACAAGCAAAACTATAGTGCTTGAAGTTTGAAGCTCTTGAGATCGAAATTCCAATACAGATACATTTGCTTCTTTTACAAAATGGGAATGTAGCACTGATACCCAGGACAAAAGAGAATGCGTCAAGGAAAAGTGTTTGAGAACCATTTATTTAATGAAAACGTACTCTGAGGGTTGTTGACTCTGAAAAGGAATAATTAAGGAAGGATTATTAATTAATAAAGGACAAATTTCAACCCCTTCTGTTAAAAAATTGAGAATGAATGAGAGCAAATATGTTCTATCATTTCATTAAGTCACACATTTGCGCTTCAGAAATTTACAGACATGTCACACGTTTCCCATTCTCATGCCATAGATTTACAGTTCTAAATAAAACGTTAATCGAATACATTAACTAAAGACTTTTAACAAAGTCTAGTTTTAGTAAAACTAGCTTTCGAGATACCATGAAAATTTGTCTGGATAATACAAAAAAAACATTTCAAATCTCTAAATAAAAATGTATGCCAAATCAAACACTTCCGTGATTGCAATCTGAGGAACCTCGTATTCATGTAAAAATACTGTAAGAGTAGCAATAAAAGTATGATAATATAAAATTTAATAAGATAAATAATAATACTAATAATAGTAATGCTAATAATAATAATGCTAATAATAATACTAATAATAATATTAATAAATACATAATTAATAAACACGTAATAATTATTATTTTGACTGTACCGTAACATTTCTTTCGTCGCTACTCCAGATTCTCAAGATATCTGGAGGAAAGCACAATCCATTGTACTCCATGTAGTCGTATTGTCCTTTGAACGGGACCCCTCTCCCTGCTACTTCGCAAGGGTATTCCGTCCAGTCGCACACCCACTGCCCAAAGGAGTCGAGCGCAGGCCTCAGGTACAGGTCCTCGCGGCAGATCTGCGAACAACAGGCGAAAGAAGTATTGGTTTTTATTCTTCGAAGTGCGTTAGCTTCATTTGCATATTTTGTACAAGGACATGTGGCAGAAGTATTTGAAACATTAACATTAACGCATGTATCAGGTGCAGGTGCTATCGGCAGATCTGTAAACGCCAGGCGAAAGAGTTAATTATTACACTTCTATATGCGCTAGGTTCGTTTGCATGTTTTGTGCAAGAACATGTGGCAAGCGTGTTTGAAACCCAGGTACAAATCCACTCGGCTGATTTGCGAACACTAGGCGAAAGAATTATTCATGTTTATACTTCTATGATCGCTAGGTGCGTTTGCATATTTTGTACAAGAACATGTGGCAAAAGGAAAGTTTGCAAGTATGACTTTTTATCAAAAATGAGAAGTAGGTTCATCTTTAGAACCCCCAACTTGGAAGACCAGGGAATTTTATATTATTCTTTCTAGTCTTTCCATGATCTAAGAAGATTGCTTTCACCATGGCCTCTCCGTGAGGCCTACCCACCTTAACATGATGTAAGAGAAAAAAGGAAGATAAGACTGTCTAGCCCTCAAAAACCTATTAGTGTCGTTGTCTGAAATAACTAAGATCTGGCCAAGACAAACTGATTGATGAGATAAAACTCATTGTGGCACAAGGATCCGAAGGCATCCTATTGGGGTGAAGGGTCGAACTTCGGAAGGGTAAATATATAGCAATGGGAAGGAATGTTACTAGGACATGGAAGGATAAAAAATACTTTTCCATGGTTTTGAGATGGGAAAGGATTTTATAGGGGTAGGATTGGAGAAAAGTGTAGAAGATAAAAGACACCAGGATTGATAGGACGTTGTAGAAAGTTTGTGTGACTTAGTTTCGGCCTGTCCGACATGGCTGACCCTGCCAGTAGACACTCAACACGTAACAATTACGTAACAAGTGTAATGGGGATGAGAGCATGCCTATTTCTGCTCCCGAAGTGACAATTCTCATTTTGTGCTGACGCATGCGATTCCGTTTTCCGCTGTACAGTTTCCTGGGTCCGATTTTACCTAGGAAACTGAAAGTTGGTTTCAAAGCATTACACTTCTGGTTATGCATTGCTGGATGGATAGTGTCATTACCCTCCCCATCATTGTCTTTTCGCGAACTTCTCCAAAGCTCCTGAAACTCACAAAACGATTCTTCGCCGTAAGCATTGATCATCGACATGACGCATGTCAACATCAATGCGAATGCATCATCATCATCAATGCATCATTGTTATCCTCTTCAGCATCAATGGATCTTTCCAAAATGTCACTCAATATTTTACAAATAAATTAATTTAGAAACCTATTGTAATTCATAGCTTGTGTGTGTTATACTGTTTAAATGAGTTTTTATCTCAATTATGAAAGGAAAATATATGAAACTCTTTTTATTTCAGTGTTATTATTCTTCATTCAAATTTCTTTCACTCTTTCATTTCCTCCCAACTATTTATTTTTTCTTGACTTTCCTTCCGTTAGTTATTTACTTAGAAAATATACATATATCCAAATTCTTACTTATCATCGAAAGATAAGATGTGTCGACAAAACTAAGACTAAAGGGATGGAGAATGCTATCTCAATTGATTGTCGACTAAATTTATACTTGTGTAATTTAGTAAAGATTACTGTATCTTTTGTCTTAATTTTTAAGAAAAAAGCTTAAATCTTTGAAGGCGCAACTAAAATTGTAACAAAAACAATAATATTACGTAAAAAATATCTGGATTATTTTGAAGAAAACTAACTAGCTAAACTGATTAATTTCACAATTTATACTTGTGTATTAAGTGTAAATGTGTGATGTGTTCAAATCTATCATTAGCATAGAGAAACAAGGAAAACGAAATATTCAAATGCCTTTCTAGCGTAATGGAAGTGTAAGTTGTTGAATCAGTTTCAACATTCAACTATCTCAAGTAACGAAAGTGCACTGCATATCCTGAATGCGCATAACACACTGCGGTTGTTTGCACTGAAGTTTGGGGGAATAAATCTTTTCCACGTGGTAATAAGAGTAACATTAAGTTGTACTCAGTGCGACATTTAAGATAGTCATTTCGCCATCAAATAATATGCTGAATGTACATGACACACTATATTTGTTTCCTCTGAGGTTTGGGGGAATAAATATTTTCCGCGTGGTAACAAGAGTAACATTAAGTAGTACTCAGTACGACATTTAAGATAGTCATCTCGCCATCAAATAAATTATAAGAGATAGGAAATAAAACAATGAATGTGAAAAACGTGAAGAGGAAATTGAAGTAAAAGATGAACTTTAAGGTGATCAAGTTGGAATTAAAGACGATTAAGTTGAAGTTAAAGCGATCACGTTAGCGTTAAAAGTGTTCAAGTTGAACTTAAACGCGGTCATGTTGGACAAAGACAAAGACAAAGACGTTCAAGCTGAAGTCAAAGGCGATCAACTTGAGGTTGAAGTTGAATTTTAAGATGATGAAGTTGAAGGTAGAGAAGAAGAAGAAGAAGAAGAAGAAGAAGAAGAAGAAGAAGAAGAACAACAACAACAACAACCTACCTTTGCCTCGACTTCTTCTCTGGTGAGGCACTCGCCCGTGGCGCCG